ACTGATTCTTGAGGCAGCAGTTTCGCCTGGACTTTCTACCAACTCAAGTGCGGGAGTGGCTATTATTCTTGGACGTGGTTTTCGCGACCACCACGTTCGGAGAGCATTCCCGAGCCCAACTGACCTGGGAGACCGATGTCTGGCCGCCCGAGTTCGCCAGGGCGTCTTCGACGTGTGCGCAGGCGTGCTCTACTTCCCCCCATCAACCCCGCAGCCGTGGGGCGGGCCCGAGGTGCTCTCAGACAGTCGCCAAGATGATTGGATGGTGACGTAAATGCTTGTCTTTGATGCCAACTCGGTGCATGCCAATCCTCTACGCTGACCTCAATGACGGTATCGGCTGCAGGAAGACCGACGCGAACTGGCAAGAGTACTAGAGTGAGGTCGTGGGAAATGCGCGTACGCGGGAACGCAGGCATAGAGGGGCGGGCGAGTTGACGGCGGATCTTCTTTCTGCGCAGTATCTCATGGCCGCCAACACTTTCGGCACATACGAAGCCACCTTCTATGGGAAGGGCCCAGATCAGCCAAGCAGTTTGATCGACTTCATTTTCTTTTCCTCTGGGCTCACACGCTGTCATACGCTGCGGCGCATCGGTTCCCAGCCCCAGGCTCAAGGAGGACGACCTCCGCGAGATCATGCACCTGTATACCTGGAGTTTCTTCACCCGCGAGGACTCCAGGACTGCGACGAGGCCCAGGCGCCGCCCACATGAAACATGACGGCCCTGCTTAGGGCAATCAAGAGGGGCGACCGTCGCTTAGACTTCGCGGAGGGCGTCGGCAAGTGGCTGGAGGACCATTTCGACGAGAGGCTCCAGGCCCACGACCAGGACGCGCCTGATCACACCTTCGAGCTCCTGGAGCAGCGCTTGGTCGATGTGGGCGGCGAGTTTTTTCACCGAGCCGCCGGGCCCCCCAGATGAATGCGTGCACTGGGCTCAACTTCAGCGAGGCCTTATATATGAAAGAGCTTGTTCTACCGCTGCTGGCGGAAAACCGGGGGGGGTCACTGCCGGTTCGAACCCCTCCCCCCCCCCTCCAGACAACCGGGGGGCGGTCGCTGCCGGTTCGAACCCCCCCCCCCAGCTCATCATGAAAAGGGGGTGGGGGGGGGTGGGTCACTACCGGTTCGACCCCCCCCCCGCCCCTTTCGAAAACCGAGTGGGGGCGCGGACAGTGGTGGGGGCGATGTTGGCGGGGGCAGTGGTGAGGGGGCAGCGGGGCAGCGGTGGGGACAGTGGGGCAGTAGAGGGCCGGTAGTGGTGGGGACAGTGGTGGGGGCAACGGTGGGAACAGGGGGGACAGTGGACAGTGGTGGGGGCGGTGGCGGTGGGGACAGCGGCGTGGGCACAGCGGGAATGAGGTGGAAACAGTGGGACAGTGGAGGGTACAATGGTGGCGGGGACAGTGGTGAAGGCGGTGGCGAGGACGGCGGTGGGACAATGGGACAGAGGTACCGCGGGGACAGTGGCGGGGACAGTGGGGACAGTGGTGGGAACAGTGGGACAGCTCAGTGGGACAGCGGCAGAGTCAGTGGGACAGCGGGGACAGCGGGGATAGTCGGGCAGTGGTTGGGGCCGTGGAGACAGTGGGGAGAGTGGAACCCTGGTGGGAACAGTGGTGGGGACAGTGGGGACAGCGCGACAGTGGTGGGGGCACTGGTGGGGACACAGCGGGGACAGTGGTGGTGAGGACAGTGGTGCTTGGAACAACAGTGGGGGATGTGATGCGGACGGCGGTAGGGACCGGGAGTCGTTTGCTGGCGGTGAGTGTGGGGGGGGCGGGGGAGGGGTTCGAACCGGCAGCGATCCCTCTCCGGGTTTTCCGAGGGGGGGGGGGGGGGGGGTTCGAACCGGTAGCGACCCCCCCGGTTTTCCGGGATCGGAGGGGGGTTGAACCGGCAGCGGGGTTCGGCCGGTTTCGAGGGTGAGGGGGAGGGGGAGGGGTTAGGGGAGGGTGTGGGTTTTGCGAGGGAGGGTGGGGGGGGGGCGTTCCAGCAGGGGGGGGGGGGGGGATTTTCAGAGGGGGGGGGGGGGCTGGGGCGGACCCCCCGGACCCCCGGGGTTCCAGAGGAAAAGGGGCGGCTGGAAATTTCCATGGTAAAGCGGCGGTGGATTCACGACTCTCTCTTATAGATCTTATATGTATATAATATAATATATATGATATACATATATATATTAATATATATATTATATATATATAATATATATAATGCATGCGCGTGTGTGTATATATACACACATATATCGAAGACTTGGAGGCAGTCGAGAAAGAGAGCTGAAGGGCATCTCCCACAGGCTGCGCCTCCTTCGTCAGAAGTATCCTCGGGCTGCTCGCGAGTTGCATGTCCAGGCGTCTTTCGAGGCTTGGGCCAGGCGCGACTCGTGCGAAGCAATGGGATGGGCTCGGAGGGCTGCTGGGCGCAAGTTCCCAGCCAAAAAACTGGATGGCAGAAGATCCGGAGCAGCTCCCATCTCCAGTTCAGCGCGGCTCGACGTTTGGTCGCGGCCGGGGGGGGGGGGGGAACGGCGGGGTGGAAGTTCAGCAGATCGACCTGGGCGAGTGGCGAGCACGGCGAAACGACTTCGACGTGGGCCAGAAATACGATATCGCGCGATATGATGACCGACCCGAACAGCTAGGATACTCTGACATCGGCCGACTGCGTCGCTATGTTCGCCGAGCAACGAAGCGCAGAGTGGTCCCTGAAGGCACGGCCCCCCTGGAGCTCTGGTGGCCGATGCTACATCCCGCTCGAGGCACGCATCATCAGCGCCCTGGTCCGAGAACACCTCGAGCCCCCGAGGAGCCCGCCCTGCTCTTACAGACCCCCCTGGACGGGATGAAGAAGATTCGAATTACAGATTTAGCGCCGCTGCGCTGGAATACGTCTCGGGGGCGCGCTTTACACAAATCGGCTCAGCCTGGGCCGCGAGGAAAGCGCGTGGCCCATGCGCCGCCAGTCGCAGGCGAAGCTTTCTTGTCGCAGATCTGTTGCCCAACGAGCTGGCCCCCGAGGATTATGGTTTCCAGAAGCGTCGGAGAGGGGAAGGGGCTTATTTGGCTTCCCAGGGACAGGTGGCGGGATGGAGACTGCGGAAGGCGGGGCGGGGTTCCGGGGCCAGCCTGAACGATATGAGCAACGCCTTCGGTAGCACGAGTTGGGATGCTTTGGACAATACTATGTCTGCGCTTGTCCAGCCTGAACGTGTTGTCTTACGCAAGCATAGTCATCGGGACAGGGTCGTTTGACTACGAACTGATGAGGGAGAGTTAGCGGTAAAGACAGGAGTGGGAGGAGTGATGGGGGGCCCGTCCATGGTGGTTGTTGTTTTCGACGATTCTCTGTCGCCCAGCGGCGAGGTGGACTCGTGCCCCGAGGGAAGTGGACCCCACCCTCGCCCTGCTGCGCGCTGACTGAAACGGCCGAGAGGTCGACCTCAGCCTGTTCAAGTACGCAGACGATTTGTACCGCTACACTGTCATGCCTTTTGGGGACTCCATGGGATCTTTCTTGGCCAAGTTCAAGCACTCCGACGATTTTTTCGACTCCCTCCTCAGGAACATGAGCACGAACAAAATCGGGGGAAGCAGGAGCTGGTCGTCTGGACCGATGGGGGGGGGGCACGATGTGTAACAGATGGCTACGCGGGCCTGGGCGGGCCCTTCTCTCGGGAGCTATAAAGGAAGAAGTTCGATATCTTGGACCTCGTGTTTCCATCTCCCAGGCGCCCAGTCAAGAGGTCAACCGTCGGCATCAGGCCATGCGCGCTGCATTCTTCTCCATGGGCGGCTTCTGGTCTCTCAGTCTTCCATGGAAGCTCACGCGTTCAATGTTTACGTCGTCGGTTCAGATTTCAGCTCTTTGTGGATTGGAGGCGCTTCTGCTCACGAAGAAGACGCGCGCTAGCTTGGACGCCACAGCGGCGCGCCACGCTCGCGCGGCCACGCGCAGGCGCACCAGCTGGAGGGCGGAGGCTGGAGCGACCCGCACGTTGACGTCAAAAGGTGTTTTGCAGCATTGGCGCATGTGTGAAACGTACGTTGACCTCGGCATTAGGCGGTCGAACTGGCACAGGGCCTGGGCCCGCTTTCCCTCCAGCCAGCTGCAGTTGCTCTCGGCCCCCTTCGGTTCGGCCCCTTCCGAGTCGCATGCGGCGCCCATGGCGGAGGGGGCTCCCACTTCAAAGGCTTCCCTCGCGTCGCTGGAGATTTCGAGTGGGCACGGGGGCTCTTGCGCGATCGCGAGGACATGCCAGGTTCTTCTCGCTGCTCGCCCTGGACTCACGCGGGGCCCCGAGGTTCAGGAGGAGCTCGATCATATCGATTGCACCAACATGCGTTCTTGTTTAGTCGGTCCCCAAGTGGCGCCCCCTGAGTGCAACGAGCAGGCCCCAGAGGCTAAGCCCGAGGCCATCGCGGATCCTGAGGAGCCTGAGTCTGTTTGCCAAGTCGAGGACTGCGGGGAAAGGTTTACCACAAAAAAAGGGGCTCATGGGCCATCTGCGTTCACGGCATGATTACCAATCACTACGTCACATCTTGACTCCAGCAAATAAAAGCACTTGCTGTCGGGAAGCATTCTGGGGCAAGGCATGTGCAGCAAGGCATCTAGTTTCAGCTATGCTATGGGAGCATTGTCCATTCGGTGGGGGTAGGAAGTTGCGACCTCTGGAGCCTAAATCGACGCCGGCGTGTCCCCTGCGCGAGTTCGAGGCTGTTGATCTAGACGAATTATGCCATCACTCACGCAGCCATCTGCCTGGCCCAGTTCTTCCGAGGCAACGGGCACGGCCGCCCAACGCCCCCGGCCGGGGCGTCGGCGGCAGCGTCGGCGTCTGCGACGGGGCAGGCAGCGCAGGCGGCTTCCTGGATGCAGGATGTTTCGGCCCCTTCGAAGCGCGGGGCCCCAGAATCGGCACCGCCGCCAAAAGATTCGAAGAAGGAAGGACAGCGCAAGGCGAGGAAGGGAGGCGCGCGAAGCGCTGGCCAAGGTGGTAGCAGAGCTACGCCACAACGACGCCCGCGAGCTGGCCAACCTAGCGGGAACGGCGTTTCAGACATGGGAGATACAGGAAGAAGACAAGGGCGTCACCCAGAACATGGTCGACTCAGGCGCAAAGTACGACGCCGTCTCAAAGAGCCTCAAGGATGGCCAGGTGCACGGCGAGAAGATCGACTACCGCGCAAGAGGACCACCGCACGCGCAGCTGTGGGCTGCGATGTCCCTCCACCTCGTCAACTGCATGGACGCGTTAGACGATGGCAGCGACGGGTGCAAAGAAAGCGAGAAAAAGGTGTTCTATCAGTACTTCCAGCAGCACATCAATGCGAAGATCCCGCAGCAGGTGGCCAAGCATGCGTTGCACTTCAGGCATCGCAAGTACAAGCACGCGAGCAAGAAGGCTCGGGAGGGGGACCGGCAAGACGCCGAAGGGCGCCTGACGTTCGCGTTCTCGCACGACGAGCCAGGTCGCGAAGCGAGGTCGTTGATGATTCAGGTCCTTAACAACGCGGAGGTCTCCAAGGCGGCGCACCTCATGGGGCCTGCCCCTCGTGGGCCACCAGAGAGGGAGGCAGCGCGCCACCTCGCCCTGATCGACAAGGGCAAGAGCGATTGA